CGATCAGTACTGATCACTCGCTGTGTTAATAACTGAAGTATAGTAAACTGTATATGAAAACAACAACACAGGTCCAGAAACAAGTGTCAAGGATAGGATAGATGGGAACACTGGACAAACAGATGCAGCACCAGAACAGGCATGATGAGGTCACAAGACAGTTCCATGGTCAAATCAAGTAGGCCATCAGCAGTACAGTAAACATGGATACAAAGGTGTGACTGATATTTATTCATCTTGCGGTCTCTGTTTTTATACAGACTTCTAATTTTTTTTTTAATAATAAACATGCTATACACACCTGTTCTGTGAAATGGCATTGCACAATGTGGCCCCAAACCTCCTCTTTTTTAGTCCCCAGCTGGTGCTCTCAGCTCCTCCTCTTCTCAGTGTGCAATCATAGGAAGCCACTTCCTATGGTGAGACACCTGAGGGTTCAATCCATAGACAGATAGTGGGCTCAGCCCCGCCCCGCTCCCTTGTCACAGGATTTGATTGACAACTGTGAGAGCCAATGGGGTTGATTTACTAACACTGGAGAGTGTGTAATCTGGTGCAGCTCTGCATAGGACCAAGCTTCCAGTTGTCAAAGCTTAATTGGACAAGCTAAAGTTGGAAGCTGATTGGCTACCATGCACAGCTGCACCAGATTTTGCACACTTCAGTTTTAGTAAATCAACCCCATTGAATCCCACTGCTTTCAATCTGCCCTGCGAGGAGAGAGGGAGAAGCGCTGGATCAAGATCGGGCTCAGCTATGGGGGCCCTGGAGAGGAGGATCTTAGACACAGAAAGTTTCTTACCTTAATGCAGAGAATGCATTAATGTAAAAATTCTTAAGGCTTTAGAACCACTTTAAGTTAGAATTTAGAATGATGTTACGTTTAGGAGTCTGTTCTGCATAAGTTAAGGGTTAGGTTAAGAATTACTTTCAGATTTTTAGGATTTAGACATCATGCACACAGATCTTTTGCTTTGCTACTCTGAATGGCAGAACTCCTGGCAGGAGAAAAGTTGATTAAAAATGCACCTAAAGCCGCACTTTTAGGTACACGTGTTTAGGAGCGTTTAGGCATGTTTAGGTGCCTCCATCACTTGAGCGCTAATGGATTCCATTGGCCAGAATATTCATTTATTCTGCCCATTGGAATGTATTAACACACAAGAGCTCAACTGATTACATATTTAGTGTTTTTTCTGCTCTTCAGTTCCTCTACTAAACGCACTTTTTTTTCTGCTTGTAAATGCTCCTCTTTTCATATGACTGTAAATACCTACATGTGAATGGACACATATGCTGACATAGAGGTGCTTTTACATGTTGAAAACAAATCCAAAATCTTGTAAAAGGGGTGTTTTTAAGCCCAGTGTTCATGAGGCCTTATGATTTTAGGGGTAAGGCAAAGGATAACTATAAGGGATGATTGGGTTAAAGTTTTCCTTAGCATTGGATAGAGTGAGGAAGGGTTAGAACCCCTTTCAAGTTTTTACTGCTTCCCAAGGCTCCTTTGTATAGATTTGCTTTCACATCCTGTCCTACTGATTGTGGAAATTAAGTTTAATTTATTTACTGTAACTCTTCTTTCCCGGTTTTATCCTAGTTTATCCACCAATAATACAGATACAGTTCAAATGGTTATCTTTAGTAGTTCAAGGGATATCTAGGACCTTTGTCAGATTTGTATTTTTCAATGTGACCAAATAATCAACATTTCCACATTCAATGGTGATTGAATTAAGGTATTCCAAGGTACAAATATAACTGCTGGATTTTCCTCTGACACTCTAGGAAATAAAGAAGTGGCTTGGTAAGCTAGAAAAAACATTTTCAGCCTTCAATGTGACCAACTACTACTAGATAAAACAGTAAATAAGTGACTTAGTTGAAAAATCTGGAGGCTAGCTTTACACCTGTGCACTGTAGTAATTGATCCACAGTGAGATTCAAGTTCATCCCTTTGATCTGCAGATGAATGAACATAATGGTACAAAAGTAACAATATGTTACTTTGTATAAATGTTGATTATAAACATTGATTCAGACTGCTTTTTTGACAGCTACAACTGCTGACTTCTTCTATATACTGTAATGCTGGCTTTGATTAATCACAGCCAACAACTTCTGTATATTGGGAGGGGGGGTCCCAGAAGCAGAGCAGAGAGACTGGACGTGCTACAGATGTTCTGTGTACAATGATGAAGTTTTTATTTCGGGTGAGTGTGTAGCACGTCTGCAACTAGTTAAACAATCCCCTGTTCCCTATTTCAGTACAAACAGTTCTTTATGATTTTGGCTGTGTGTTTGAAGTCAATGCCATTGCCATGCTCTACACTGAAGTTGGGACTTAGCAAATTCCTCACTGATAGTAATAAATAAGGAATACAAATCTCCCTTTACTTCTCAGCAGTGCAGTTGCATTAATTTTGATCAGATTACCAATTATGTCTATGGAAAGCACCTACAAACCTGTAGGAAATCTCTACCTGCCCTACTGTTGCCTTTATGCATTTATCCATTTATCAATTCTTCAAATTCTTCTTTTTCAAGCCCTTTAAAACAAAATCTGCCTTTTGTTAGAGCCAGATATTTCAAAATTTGACTCAGTGTAAAGCATCTGCTGCCATTTTTCTGTACTCCAGTGCCTGTGTATTAGTGCATTAGAGTCATTTGATGTCATTTTCACCTCGAAAGAGTAACTTTTTCATAAAGACCACTTTTGTTAAGAGTTTTCTGAATGTACTGTATAGATTATGGGAGTTCTAGGGTCCTATTGGTGTTTGTTAAATGTCAGCTAATAGGTGTGATGGACATCTTCCAATCTTAAAGGGAAAAAAGCCTGATGTATTTCTCATTTGCTATGCTCAGTTTCTCTGGCCAGCTTTATTGGTCCTTAACCTTACCTGTTTGTGGATTGGCAGCACTTGTGAAACACCAGTCTGACATACATTTTTGCTTAAAAGAGACATTAATGATGCAGGATGATTCTCGTGACGTGTCCCGATGATCTCTTTTACCATAGTGCAAGAGTTGCCATCTCTACCACAACCTCCCTTGGTTTTTTAAAGTTGTCTCTTGCCCAGTTTCATTCCATCCACCTATTTCTGTTACGTTAATATCTCTGTTTGAAATTACACCATATGCCAATGACAATTAGCACATGTCTGTTATATTTACTTGATCAAATATTGGCTATAAATCTACAAATATTTCACTTTTTTAATTGAAAAATTAGAGCTCTGAATAAGGGGATGTGTCCCTAAAATGCATCAGCTTGCTGACATTACCAACAATTTGGAACCAGCCACCACGTTGGTTGACCATCAGTAATTTTTTTCATGCAAATCACTTCTGTCCTTTGTGAGTATGAAATTGGCTTTTTTTTATTTCTCTCAATAAACCTTGGGTAATGCGTTCTTTTTCGGTTTATAGTTGGATTCCCCTTTCTGAGGAGGGCTGCACTGCTAAGGCACTGTCCCAGAGGAAACATTAACCCCAAAACATATTCCAGTCTGGTGACTGTCCTTTCAAGTGCTGGAGAAATTGTTTGTGAATTGGCAATGCTGTTCAAACGTTGCAATATATGAATTTTTTTAATATCAACCTCTGACGGTTGCTGGAGAAAAGAAAGTGGACATTGTTCATCACAGGAATACATGCATGCTGTAAATGTTTTTAAAGGTAGATGTATGGAAAGGGGGAATAAGTAACTGGGGGGAGGAAGGTGAGCTAAACTGGAAATTGTCTTTACGGACCTTCAATTATCTTGTGTTGTTTCACTTTTTGCAAAACAAATAGAATTCTAAGATACACTCTTATCTAATGACACACTAATGCACAAGGCATAAAATAAGCATCAAAGACAAATACTTTTGTGAGCTAGTGCCTAACACTCTTGCCTAGCACTATATTTACATGATTAGCTATTAACACATTTTACAGTTTACAGATTTGACCTCAACTGTAATGTTTTTCAGCCTTGTCATAATTCCTGTTAGCATTACATGAAAATGTAATGTTTGTGTGAGTAGCCTAAATGACATGGTAATAGATGTCTGACAAAATAAGAACTTGCTGATCATGAAAAAATTACACTCTGATTGCAGTTAAATGTCAGGATTATTGCAATGAGATGCAAAGCAGAGCTATCATTGTAATTTTTATCATGATGGCCCAGAGGTAGCATCGTAATTGAATGTTTCATTAGAAAATTGTTAGATATTTGACATTTATTTAGATCCAAAGGGCTGATCACTGGTTTTATTCCTATAATTAGAACTATAGACCATATCAAGGAGTTTGCTTCTCTTGGGCATTTAACGCAGAACAGTTAAATGAATACTAATTCTGCTGTAATATCAAGCTTGTACTGTATTTTAACTAAGAACCTCCATTCTCAGTACTGGAATATAGCATGCAAGACTTTTACACCTTGTAAAATAGTATTTATGAAGGTGGAGGCTAGATGCTTTACTTATGGATAAGGGGAAAATCTTTGTTTTAGATAGAACTAAAGGTATAAATGAGGTTCTAGTTTGGAGCCACCTTTCTGTAACTCCAAATTAATGGCTGAACATTAGCGCCTGAACTTATAATGCACTGCCTAATCCTTGCCTATGGTCAGATGGGTCCCTGAAAGCTAATCATTTGAAAGGATGGATGAGCTAGCCCCTCACTATAAAAAGGTGGAACCCCTGTATTCATATTGTCATTGTGTGTAGGAAATGGTTAGGGAAAGCTGACAAATTTGTGCACAGAGAGATGCTTTGCTATACAGTGCTACACATTTACTGTGCTATGTAGTGCCATACTGTGCTATACAGTGTTAAAGCCATGTGTACCCCTCTGTGTTCACAGATCCATAGACATAACAGACATTCCCAGGACTTTTCTTATTTGGGTGGGAAATATTCTATTTGATTTTGTCTTTCTAGGTCTTTTTTAAGCTTGAGGTATGCAGCATTCATTTGCTGCTGAACAGTTGTTGGAGCTGACCTTGCCATCAGGGGCGGACTGACCATTTGGAAACTCGGGCACTGCCCGAGGGCCCAGGGTCAGTAGGGGGCCCCATAAAATGCCCCTGGTACCTTTATCATAGGGTTTTTTGAGTTTTGGCAAGGACAGAGGGGCCCCATGATCCCCTATTGCCCGGGGGCCCCATGAGTTGTCAGTACGCCCCTGCTTGCAATGGTGTCGCATTGCAATGGTGCCGCATTGCAATGTGCGTGTCTCAAAAGCACCATACATTCATGCCTTATTACCATAATATTAGAAAAAGCTAGGTATTCCATTCAGTTCCCAATCCCAAAAAAAATAGGTCTAAAATAAGAGGCAAATATAAAAATTGTGGTTGTTGCAGACATAGCAACACCACACATAGCTTTACCACATCTTCCAATTTGTGTTTTTTCAATGTAGCCTTCAATCTTCATTAAAAGGCCCTCTCCCTGCTTTATATTGTTAAACTTTGCCATTGGCATACAGTGTGCCTCCATGGCAGTGCCTGGCACCCTGTTTCTCTTTTTGACAAGGGTTTGCTTAATAGCCCTACAAAAAGATCAAGCTGAAGATCACAATTTATTCACCCTTAGACTTCAATAATGTTTGGCAAAAAGTTAGGATGTTCTCAGTTTTGAGTACATTTAGCAAAAACTGTCTGCAAATTGGGGCAGATTTGTCCCTCCTCACTGAAAAATATGCTCTGACATTGTTGTAGACAGCCTGATGCAGTGGTCTTGGATGGCCTTTAAAAAAATGTCTGTCTACCTATGCCTTAACAAAGCTATGAGCATAAGTGTTTAATCTAGAGGTGTAATTTAATTGATCTGGAAACCCTTTTGACAATTACTAATACTGTGTCCATTAATTACATTAATAAATATATGTATAGGTTTTATTTCAGTAGAAATATATTAATTTGGTGATTGTAGAAGACCAAAGAAGGGTGCCCAAAAGTATAAAAAAAATAATATTAATTTACAACGTACTGTCTGAAAAAGTTGGCCAAAGGATTGAGTTAATAAACACTGCACTTACTTTGTTCTAAAAAAAAATTACAGTGTTTTAATAATTAGCATATAAATTTAAAGGTGCCTGACAATGCTTTGTTATTGAAAGGGTAGCAAGAAACTATTCAAGTAGTGATTACCTACAGTTAAGAACAGATGACTAATCATCTAAGACTGGTCATCTGTTGCTAACTGCTGGTAATCGCTGGATGTCCAAATGCGAACAGTGGACGGCACTTTTAGCCTGTCATTGCTTTTTATTGGCTGAGCAGCCACTGCTGCTCACACAAACCTGTAAATACCACCATACGAAGTCACAGATGTGAAAGTGACCTTACACTTGCTTGAACAAGATTGTCTTATTGAAATGTGCTATTTTTATTAATTTTCTGAAGACAAAAGTTTTAATCTTGAAATTAGATTGTCATAAATGTTTTTAAATATTACACCAAAGGCATCAAATTGCTTTAAATAACACTTAAAGCTGCAAACATGAAAGATTGTGGTTGACATATTAACCACTTGCCTACCAGGCACTTTTACCCCCTTTTCTGCCCAGGCCAATTTTCAGCTTTCAGTGCTGTTGCACTTTGAACGACAATTGCTCAGTCATGCAACCCTATAAACAGGAAGTGCCTGAAAAAAGACTTTAATGGCAGGATTACCAGATATTATTCAAAGTGATATTAAACCCTCAGCTTTATAGGCACTTTTAGTATCTGATTTAATCACTTTCTGAGTACGCAGCTTCTCCATCTTTTAAAGGGATACAAACTCTTTACTAAGAGAGTAAATATTCATTTAATGTAGTGAATAATGTGAACTGTATTCACTGCAAGCATCCAATCACATGCAAGAATATTTTTTTTTCGCATGCTCATGATTAGGTCTTCAAAGTGAACCAGCTTTGTTGTAATCACTAAGGCACATTACATGACAGGGATATGTGAGAAAGACACATATTCCATGTAGGAAGTGGTGGTAAGTCTAATGTACCTGGGTTTGGTTTGTGGGACATTCAGTGACTGCTCCTTAGTTTGAAAGTTAATCTGACCCCACTGAAGTGATTAGGAGCTGAATATTTAAAATCAGTTCTAGCCATTTTCAAGGCAAAGGATTGGTGCGGCAGATCACTATTGTCACTATGGGGCAGATTTAATAAAACTGGTGCTCTCAGAACCTGGGGCAGCTGTGCATGGTAGACAATCAGTTTCGGACTTCAACCTATTCAATTAAGCTTTGGCAATACAACATGGAAGCTGATTCTATGCAGAGTGGCACCAGATTTTGCACGTTCCAGTTTTAGTACATAACTCCCTATGTCACTGTGGGGGCAATGTATTGGGGTGGTTAATGATCAGGGGCACTGGCTGGCTGTTCTGGTACCCCATTTTTCCTGATTACTAGCCACACAATACAGTGTCAACATTATAGTGCAGCCAACCACAATGTCTCTGATCAGTAGCACACCATTGCAATGTCACTACACAAGTGAAGCAAGCAACCTTGATCACTGCCACATCAGTCACAGTGTCATCAGATCAGCACAGCCAGCAACAATGTTCCTGATCGCTGCCACATGAGTCGCAGTGTCACTAGACCAGTGTAAGCAAGAAACTGTGTTCCTGAATGCCGCCACATCAACAGTCAGCAACAATGTTCCTGGTCATGACCATGCCAATGCCAGTGACTCAAACTGAATTGATAACTTTTTGTAAAAAATACCTTTTCATTTTATTTCTTCATTTTCCAAAATGTTGTGGCCAAAATATGATCTTCAAGAGGCTATCTATGCCTCTAATTTAATACAAGAGGGACTACTTTGCAAAATTGGGTCATTTTGCAGGCATTTCTGGTACTTCAGGGCCTTAAGAAATGTGATAGGTAGTCAGAACATCAGATACAAAATGTATACCCCTTGGAAGCCTGAAGGTGTTCTTTGGAGTTTTAGCCCCTTTATGCATCTAGGGCTGTGAAAAAAGTTTCACACATGTGGTATCCCCATACTCAAAATAAGTAGAAAAATATGTTTTGGCATGTAATTTTAAGTATACCCATGCTGTGTTTGAAAAATAACTTTCTTAATTTTCCAAAACATTTGTGGCAAAAAATTACAAAACTTATGCTTCTTTTTTTTTATATGTCAAAATATAACTTTTTTTGGAAAATATAAAAAAAGCCTAATGGTGGTTAAATACCACCAAAAAAAAAATCTCTATCTGTCTCAAAAAAAGATATAAAAGTAATTTGGGTACAGTGTTCCAGTGTTGCAACTGAGTAATTGTACGTCAACATATGGTAGTGCTGACCACTGAAAAATGGCCTGGACAGGAAGGGGGTTTAACATGCCAGTCTTCAAGTGGTTAAAGGGGAAACAAATATCCATACCAGACCTTGATCTTGCATGGATATTAAAGGGGGACATCATGCAAAAACAAATGTGAAATATTGGAACATCTTATAGCGAATGTTCACCTGCATTAACCGGAAACTCTCATCTCAGTGTAAACAATCTAGCCAGATGAAGAGGGAAAGAGATAGAGTAATGGTCTGTTGGACACGGTAGAGATCTTTCATTTTGATTCAGCCAGTCCATCACTGCCTTTGCAGTTTCAAAGAAGTGAACTCTGTCGAACCACAAACCACAGTCAGGCAGGGAAAATAATAGAGTAGGTGGATGGAGGTCTCAAACGTTTTTTTCACCTTTCACCTAGAATTTCAATTGTTGCTTTTGGACATCAGCAAAGAAATCTGGGAATACTTGAAGACCAAACATTTTCTGTGAGGTTTTACTTACAAGTTTAAATCCAAATTTGTTGTTAAAAAATTACTTATAACCCCCAAACATTATATTTTTTTTAGCAAAGAACCTAGAAAATGAAATGGTGATTGTTGCAATGTTTTATGTCACATGGTATTTTCATTCAAACGCAATTATTTTTTAAAAAAATACACTTTAGTGAATTAAAAAAAAACAAAAACACAATGTATACCCCCATTTTTTTGTAAAATATGAAATAAGATGTTACGGCAAGTAAATAGATACCTAACATGTCATGCTTTAAAATTGTGCATGTTCGTGTAATGGTGACACATTACGGTACTTGAAAATCTCCATAGGCAACTCTTTAAAAATGTTTACAGATTACATGTTTAGAGTTACAGAGGAGGTCCAATGCTAGAATTATTGCCCTTGCTCTAATGTTTGCGGCAATACCTCACAAATGTGTTGTGAACACCGTTTACATATGCATGTGCGATTTACATATGCGTTCCCTTCTGCGTGCAAGCATGGGATGGGGGAGCTTTAAAATCTTTTTCTTTTTTTTTCTTTTAACTATGTCCCTTAATTTTTTTATCACCTCTATTCCTATTCTTAATGTAAATATCCCTTGTAATAGAAATATGCATGACAGGTTCTCTTTAAGAAGAGATCTTGGGTCAAAAAGACCCCAAATCTCTTCCTTACTTTAAAAGCAAAATATCAAAAAACTATTTTTTTTTAACTTTTGCTTTAACCACTTGCCCACCTGAGAATTTACCCCTCTTCCTGACCAGGCCATTTTTTTGCATTTCAGCGCTGCGTTACTTTGACAATTGCGCAGTCACCCAACACATCCAAATTAAATTTACAGCCTTTTTTTCCCATGAATTGAGCTTTCTTTTAGTGGTATTTTATCGCCTGTGTGTTTTTTATTTTTTGCACTATAAAAAAAAAGACTGACAATCTTGAGAAAAAAACAATATTTTTGACTTTTTGCTATTAAACATGTCCAGTAAAAAAATGTAAAAAATCTAATTTCATCATAAATTTAGGCCAAAATGTATTTTGCTACATGTCTTTGCTAAAAAAAAAAAAAAACCCAATACATGTAAATTAATTAGTTTACGTGAATGTTATAGCATTTACAAATGGCAGTATAGATACTGGAATTTTTATTTTTTTTTACTAATAATGGCAGTGATCAGTGACTTCTAGCAGGACTGCAGGACTGTGGCGGGCATTCTGACACTGGGGGGAACTGACTTGGTGTCACTGACATCCCCTGTGACACCAATACAGTGATCAGTGCTAAAAAAAAAAGCACTGACATCGTACTAATGGCACTGGGCAGGAAAGGGTTAACATGAAGTGCACAGAAAGGGTTAACTGTGTACTGGGAGTGTTTTACTGGGGGGCGGTATGTTGGTGCTTCACTGTAAGGACACTGCTCTGGATGTCTGTGTTGTGCACAGCCATCCAGAGCAGTGTGCCTGAGCCGACAGAGAGGACTGTTAGTAAACAAAGCAGCCCTCCTCCCTGTCGGAGATCCTTGGTAATCACCGGGCGCCGGTGGGGCAATCACTGGCCGGGACCTGGTGATTGACAACCATAGCCGCTAATGGCAGCGCTGATAGGGGGCTCGCATGTCCCTACCCAGAAATGCAAAATCACGTATATATATATATATATACGTATTTGCGCACCCCTGCCGCCCTGTAGCGGAATATCTGCTCTAGGGTGGGGGGGATGTGGTTAACCTGTTCCCGCCTGGCCAATAGCACAAAGGCGCCGAGCGAGCAGCTCGTCCCTCCAGGTGGACGCCATATGGCATCCTTTCAGTCATGCGCAGTGCGCCCGCCCGCAGAGCCGCTCTGCGGCACGATCTGTCATCGGCTGTGTGTGAGGTACATGACAGATCTGTGTACCGGCCCCGTTTCTAGTACCATGTGACCTGCTGTGACCAATCACAGCAGGTCATATGACAGTTGTATACAATGGATGGCTTCCTGTCATGCCATCCATTGTATTCTAGTGTGTCTAGCTGAATGGTCACAGCGATCACATGCACAGCTGGGCCAATCTCAGCCCAGCTGTGCCATGTGATTTAGCCGTGGCCAAATCACAGCTAAGCACAAAAAAAAAACCCTGAATGAATCGATGTCATTCAGGTAAATGCTTGCTTATAGCAAAGTAATTCTTTGCTACAAGCAAATTGTGTAAAAAAAAAATACTGATCACTTCCCCAAAGTAGTAGTACAATGTTACTATGGTAACATTATACTACTTTGGTCATAGTGAAATATGAAAAAAAATCTTAAAAAAAGAGAAAGAAATTTAATAAAAAATTGAAACTAATAAATTTTTTTTAAAAAATTCTAATTTTTTCACACTGTCACCAGTCAGTGTCCCTGATCACCACCATGCCAGTTATATGATGACGCTGTACTGCACTGGTAACAGTATGAAAAAAAAAAATTGTGAAAATTTTTTTTCATTTTTTTCATTTTCCAAAAAATTATGACAAAAAAATTACAACTTCAAAAAACCCGCCATGCCTCTTATGAAGTACGTCAGATGGTCTACTTTGCAAAAAGGGGTAATTTGGGGATATCTGTACTATTCTGACATTCTTGGACCTCAAGAAATTAGATTGGCTGTCAGTACTTCAGGATTGATCAATATTCAGATACAGTTGCAAGAAAAAGTATGTGAAACCCCTTGGGATTACGTGGAGTTTTGCATGAATTGGGCATAAAATGTGCTCTGAACGTCATCTAAGTCACAACAATAGAAGAACACAGTCTGCTGAACATAATACTACACAAACATTAGATGTTGCCGTGGTTTAATTGCACATAACATGTAAAACATTCACAGTGCAGGGAGGAAAAAGTATGTGAACCTTTGGACTTATTAACTGGTTGACCCTCCTTTTGGCAGCAATAACCTCAACCAAACGTTTCCTGTTGTTGCAGATCAGACCTGCACAACGATCTGGAGTAATTTTGGACCACTCCTCTTCACAAAACTGTTTCAGTGTAGCAATATTCTTGGGATGTCTGGTGTGAATCGCTCTCTTTAAGTCATGCCACAGCATTTCAATCGGGTTGAGGTCAGGACTCTAACTGGGCCACTCCAGAAGGCGTATTCTGTGCTGTTGCAGCCATTGTTTTGTTGAATTACTTGTATGCTTTGGGTCATTGTCCTGTTGCATCACCCATCCTCTGCGGAGCTTCAGTTGGCGGACAGATGGTCGTACGTTTTCTTGCAAAATGTCTTGATAAACTCTGGAATTCATTTTCCCATCAATGACAACAATCCGTCCAGGCCCTGAGGCAGCAAAGCAGCCCCAAACCATGATGATCCCTCCGCCATGTTTTACAGTGGGGATGAGGTTTTGATGTTGGTGTGCTGTGCCTTTTTTTTCTCCACACATAGTGTTGTGTGTTCTTCCCAAACAACTCAATCTTGGTTTCATCTGTCCACAGTATATTTTGCCAGTAGTGCTGTGGAACATCCAGGTGCTCTTTTGCAAACTTCAAATGTGCTGCAATATTCTTTTTGGACAGCAATGGCTTCCTCCATGGTGTCCTCCCATGTACTCCATTCTTGTTTTAAATGTTTTCCTTATTGTAGATGTGTCAACAAAATGTTAGCATGTGCCAGAGATTTCTGTAGGTCTTTAGCCGACACTCTGGGATTCTTCTTTACCTCATGCAGCATTCTGCGCTGTGCTCTTGCAGTCATTTTTACAGGATGACCATGCCTAGGGAGAGTAGCAACAGTGCTAAACTTTCTCCATTTGTAGACAGTCTGTCTTACCGTGGACACATGAACATCAAGGCTTTTGGAGATACTTTTGTAACCCTTTCCAGCTTCATGCAAGTCAACAATTCTTGATCGTAGGTCTTCTGAGAGCTCTTTTCTGCGAGGCATGGTTCACATCAGACAGTGCTTCTTGAAACCAGTAAACCCAAAACAGGTGTGTGTTTTTTAAGGGCAGGACAGCTGTCAGCAACACATCCAATATCATCACACTGATTAGAGTCAAGGTTGGCTCACTCCTGGCTCCAATTAGCTCTGGGAGAAGTCATTAAGCCAGGGCCTCACATACTTTTTCCTCCCTGCACTGTGAATGTTTACATGTTATGTGCAATTAAACCATGGCAACATCTAATGTTTGTGTAGTATTATGTTCAGCAGACTGTGTTCTTCTATTGTTGTGACTTAGATGACGTTCAGAGCACATTTTATGCCCAATTCATGCAAAACTCCACGTAATCCCAAGGGGTTCACATACTTTTTCTTGCAACTGTATATCCCATAGTTTGTGAACTCTATAACTTTCCTACAATCGAAATAATAAATACTGATTTGGGTTATTTTCACCAAAGACATGTAGCAGAATACATCTTGGCCTAAATTTATGAAGAACAATTATTTATTTGCAATTTTTATAACAAAAACAAAGAAAAATGTGTTTTTTTTTCAAAATTTTTAGTATTTTTTTTGTTAATTTACCAAAAAATAAAAACCCCAGCGGTGATTAAATACCACCAAAAGAAAGCTCTAGTTGTGTGAAGAAAATGATAACATTTTAGTTTGTGTACAGTGTTGTATGACCGCACAATTGTCATTCAAAGTGTGAGAGCGCTGAAACCTGAAAAATGGCCTGGGCAGGAAGGGGTAAAAGTGCCCTGTATGGAAGCGGTTAAAAAAGAAAAAAACTCCCGCTGCCCACCGGATGTGATGGCATGACGTCGCTAGGGTCCTCCATGATGATAGAGGTGATCAAAGACCATAGAGTCTTTTATTGCTGCCATCTTCAGCAGGCTGGACCATCTGATCATTTCTCTGGCTGGCGGCTTTAACGGTAAGCCAAAGAAACACCAGTGAGCGGCGGGAGGGGACAGAAGCAATCCAGCAGCTGAAGAGCCGCTAGGATCACTTTCATTTGAAAGCTGGCTGTTTGCTGAAAAAAAAAAAAAATACTGGGGTTATGGCTGAATTCTTCAGCCATAACCCCGGTAAACCCCGGGAAACCACTTTTACTGTATTAGTGGTGAGGATAAAGTAACAATAAGTAAACCCCTGTTTGCAGCTTTTTTATTTGAATTTTTGTAATTTGTGAATCATGGCAGTGAAATACCTAAGAGCCATTACTGTATTAGTGAGATCAATGAATAAATTAAAATGCTAACCTCACAGTTGTCACAGCTGCATACATTTACATATTACACCTCATATTAAAAAACAGTATCTATGTAGCTGCATCTGTTCCTTTTCCTCCAGTAATTTCCTTCACATCACTAGATGGCAGTAATGTATTAAGTATACATTTTTATTGTAACTACTTTATTCTTTAAGCGTACAGATAAACACAACCTTGAACTGTGCTTGCCTTTTCTGTTAAGTAATGTGATATATTGCATATATTCCAAACTGAATATAGTGTACAGCAATATAGAAAAATAGTGTTTCTATTGACTCATGCTACATGTTTCTACATGACTGTATGAAATAAGATGCCTTCCTAACCATTAGGACTATTCATCAAAAACTAATTGGGTTTCATGCATTCAGAAAGGACCAACAGGGAGGGCTGTTATGAAAATGTTGATCTGTGGAGACTCAAAGCTTCTGGTAAGTTGCCTTTGCGATTTAAATTTGTATTTCTTCTGTTGTAAATGAGCATAAGGCTAGGTTCACACCTATGCAGTTTGCGTTTGATCCGTTTCTGCAGTGCTTTTTTTTTGTGCATATGTTTTTGACACATTTTTGATGCGTTTTGCTTATTTATTTATTTGGCCAACTTGCTGCTTGGCAGAATAAAAATGCAAAACACATCAGAAAACACACCAAAACACATTAAAAAATGCATGCAAAATGCAGATCTTGTGTGTTATATGCAGTTCCATTGAAATCTATTGGACTAAAAATGCAAACTGCTGCAGGAAAAGAAGTCCCTGTCCCTTTCCAAAAAATGCGCCTGCAAAAACTGCATAGTTGTGAATGTGATCCATAGGAAATCATGATAAATGGCATGCACTGCGTTCCTGCAAAATGCATAAAAAAATTCACAGGTGTGAACCTGGCCTAAACATATTAAACATAGCAAATACAATATGCTTTTTATTCATATTTAAAGACAATATAACATACTGTGCATAGCTCACTTGCTACTTTTTATGTACACCTATGGCTAGAACTTTCTCCCTGTGCAAAGCCTGACTTTTTATTATAAAGTATTCAAGAAGCACACATTCCTTGGAGATTCACTCTCTGTGATGCCTTATTAGCATAGGTCCTTCAGACTTTTAGGTCACACAATAATGTTGCAATCTTCTTGTGCGACATCCCAAAAGGTTCATGCTGTGCATGACAATATCTGACTTTGCAATCTGTATGCTGAAGCAGAAATTTGGAATTGCCATACCAGGCAACATTTTTTTCAGTCTTTCAACTGTGGTGGTTCCTTTCTTAATGCCTATGCGTAACCATAATTAACAACAGAAAAGTTAGTAAGATGTGCCCCTTGTGATATCCATGCCCCCTACCCACCCTTGCCGTTGTCATCTTCCCTTGCTGCAGAGGTTAATAAAACCTAGGGGGCTATCACAGGTTTCCATCAAGAGCCCTTTCCGTTGCTTCATTAATAAAAACTATACTACAGCTTCTATGAATAAAACAGAATCTATGAATGGAGGATAGGTGGATCATTGATATATCCACCCACTCCATCCATAGATCATCTTTCTGTATTTTGTTTCGGTCTTAAAGTGTATCTATAGCCAACACTTTTTTCTTACTTATGGATACAGCAGGCAAGGGTTAGCCTTCCCCATACTTAAATAAAACAGTTTTACTTCTACCTGCTGTTAGAAAGTTTCCTTCACTTTCTGTGTGGTAAAAAAAAGAAGTTGAATTTAAAAATTTTTTTTACTTGTGAGCCAATAAGGTGTATAATAAACGGCTTCTATCAATAAGATCGCAGGCTATCTTGCTCACCCTCATAAATGTGAGCTATTAGTGCATACAAATGAAGGAAATATAGATGCCGCGCTCTATTGAGACCTATTACCTGTATATAGTATAAAAACTGTATTTACATTAAATCTCTAATAGCTGCATAATCTCTTATGTGTAACCATACATGATTCTGATGGCAAGCAATACCAAAACATGTGTTGGTAATAATGAATAAATGAATTTGAAAAATATATAACAAAATTGGTGATAAAAAAAACAAAAAACAAGAAAAACCCCAAAAATTAAAGTCTGTGCAAAATTGTTCAAATTTGTGTCCTTCGATGATTAAATAAATAATCCAATAAATAAATAAAAAAATATAATAAAAATAGAGAAATATGGAAATTAAATAAAAGGTAAAAATTCAATGAATTTTGTGCAAAAACGCAAAACAAACTTGGTGCAGAGTTCAGCAGGGATGAGATATCTGTGTGCTCTCCTTCCAATCAGCCTGAGGTGATGCAGGTGAAGGTTGCAGATAGAACGCGTATCTCCACAGGGATTCGTGGCTTCGTCCGGGGATGTAGTATCTACTATGTAGTAGATACTACATCCCCTGGATGAAGCCACGAATCCCTGTGGAGATACGCGTTAGGGAGGGGCAGTGACATCACCACGCATTTTTACACGGGGAGCTCTGGTAGTGTATGCGAGCACACCCGAGAGGCTGATCTTCACTGCTTTAAGCGGCTATTATACAAAATGCAGATTGTTTTTAATCAATGTGAGTGCATATTGAGCGCATATTAAAGTGTTTATTTTTATCAATGATAAAGCACTATGCACTTTTCTCTATTTACTTGATCTGTATGAGGAATGCTTAAAGGGCTGGATCAAGGAAAGATCTGAGGAGGAAGAGATTCATATGACCATTCAGGCTTACATAGTAGTCCTCTATCTGCAACCTTCACCTGCATCACCTCAGGCTGATTGGAAGGAGAGCACACAGATATCTCATCCCTGCTGAACTCTGCACCAAGTTTGTTTTGAGTTTTTGCTGAAAATTCATTGAATTTTTACCTTTTATTTATTTTCCATATTTCTCTATTTTTATTATATTTTTTATTTATTTATTAATTGGATTATTTATTTAATCATTGAAGGACACAAATTTGAATAATTTTGCACAGACTTTATTTATTTATTTTTTATTACCAACTTTGTTATATATTTTTCAAATTAATTTATTCATTATTACCAACACATATTTGGGTATTGATTGGCATCAGAATCATTTATGGTTACACATAAGAGATTGTGCACCTATTAGAGATTTAATGCAAGTACAGTTTTTATACTATATACAGGTAATAGGTCTCGATAGAGCACGGCATCTATATATTTTCTTAAAAAAAAAGAAGTTGTCCCCACAACAGAAAGTGATTAAAAGATTTTTTTGATCAGATTTAAGTGGTTGTAACATAAACAGTGCAGCAAATGTTTTCCGATTTGATTATTTTAAAGCATCTAAAAAATTATCAATAAATGAATGTTTATCATAGTTTGGATAAAATCAAAAAGCAGCATGGGTGCCTTCTTAGAAATATTAAAAATATATATTTATAAGGAGCTATAAATCTTCCCCATGCTATCGAAAAAGAACAAAAAATGTTTTGTCTTTATATACTCTTACTTCTATTGCTTGTATACATATTCGCGTAGGTTTCCTAAGGAAGCAGTGGATGCCTAAGAACTACTGCCATCTAAGCACACAGCCTTACCAGCCAAGTAAGCAAAGGGTTGGGTATAGCAGTGACATCACTATGGCCACTGACTGTATTTGGGCAATGACGTCACCACTAACTTCGTCCTCTCCCTCATATACTGTAGCTGAAGACACCTAGGAAAGCTGTCATTTGGCTAGTATTATCAGCAGCTGGTGGACATCATGAATGACAGCAGATTTACAATGAGGCACTTTTTTGGGGTTTTTAATTTTTTTTTTTTAATTTTCGTAAGGGACATTTATAGGTAAAGCTGATCCAGGGAATATCTCTGGGGGGATCAGGAAGGAATTTTTTTCCACTGCAGGAGCAAATTGGATCATGCTTTACTGTTTTTTATGCCTTCCTCTGGATCAACTGTGGGTATAAAATTATAACTTTTTTTTTTTATGGTTGAACTGGATGGACTTTTGTCTTTCTCAGTCAGACTAACTATGTAACTTGTGAAATGTTCAGGTGTCTTTATTTCTGGGTTACATCTTTCTTTTTTTTCTGTGAATAAGTATGTGTACTATGTATTTCATAATAATTCAGCCTCGTCCCCTCCCCCTTTCTAGCAAGCCAGACTGCATGCTCATCTTAAGGGTCTGGTATGGATTTTGTAGAAGGACATCAGGCTTTTTTAAATGGAGATTCCCCTTAAAATCCATTTCAGGCCCTTCCGAACTAGTATGGATTTCCTAGGGAACCTTATGCATTTTTTTTTTGCATGAGGTACTCCTTTAAAATCCATACCAGACTTAGAGGGATGAAAAAAAAAAAATTATACACTTTAAATTGCTGGAGTATGAAATTTCATTGCCAGCTTCGTAAAAAAAAAAAACCCAAAACAAAACAGCACACAGACTACATCAAACATCCCCCAGAATACAAAGCAGGCCATTAAAGAGGTCTGTATGCTTTTTTAAATTTTTTTTCCTCTGGAAATGTCAGTGCTCCTGTAGCACTTTTTTTTACATCACAGGCACAATTAGGGCACCCCCTAGGCATGCAAAGTAAAGGGTTTGAGCAATTTTAATGTTTCTCCAAGCATTAAAAAAATCTAATGGAATTATTAAAAAATTTTTTGCAATGCTACATCAGGGCAATGGTTACTCCCACAAGCTATTTTTGACACCCCTTCCTTGCCTGTTAGCACAAAAAATGGCCAGAGGCAGGGGCGGACTGACCATTTGAACACTCGGGCACTGTAGGGGCATTTTATGGGGGCCCCATAAAATACCCCTACAGGGGCAGACTGACCATTGGGGAACTTGGGCACTGCCCGAGGGCCCGGGGTCAGTAGGGGGCCCCATGAGATGTCCCTGGTACCTTTCATAGCCTTTTTTGGGTGTGATTTGAGTTTTGACGAGGACACAGGGGCCCCATGATCCCCTATTTCCCAGGGGGGCCCCATGAGTTGTCAGTCTGCCCCTGTGCCCTATTACCTTTTTTTTATAGACTTTTTATGGTGTGCTTTGACACAAGGGCCCCATGATCCCCTATTTCCCGGGGGCCCCATGAGTTGTCAGTCCGCCCCTGTGCCCTATTACCTTTTTTATAGAATTTTTACGGTGTGCTTTGACACAGGGGCCCCATGATCCCCTATTGCCCGGGGGCCCCATGAGTTGTCAGTCCACCCCTGGGCAGAGGGACGTTCACCACTAAGAGTGTATTGCATAAAGAAGGAGTGTATTTCTGCGGAGTGCCAAGTGTTTGTGTACACCAGTGCCCACTTCCCCAAGCTAATTTTTTACACCCTCTTCCTTGCCTGTTAGTCCAGAAAATGGGCATTTTTAGTTTTACAGATTCGGCTCCAACTGATTTCAGTGGGTTTCGGGTCCAGTATCTGAACTTCTTTGAAGTTCACCTAACAATGCTTGCACCAATCCCATGGCAGTCCAGCTCATGCCTGCTGCTTAACCACTTGCCCTCCAGAGGTTTTACCCCCCCTTCCTGACTAGGCCATTTTTTGTGATACGGCGTTACGTTACTTTAACTGACAATTGCGCAGTCTGCTATGTAGAGCAATACAAAGCTGTGTTCTGGAGCTGACAGGGGAGAGATCTGTATTTTTACATACAGACCTCTCCCCTGTCAGTGATACTCGGCATTCGCCAGGTGCCGGCGGGGATACTCTAGCCGGGACCCGGTGATCGAAAGCTGAAGCCGGCAATGGCGGCTCCTACCCAGAAATGCAACATCACGTATATATACGTGATTTTGCACAGCCGTGATGCCCTATACCTTGAAAGGACAAGCAAGATCTTAGTAACTGAACTTTAATTTCTCACATATGTCCCTTCCATTTCTTATTACTTGTTATTCAAAATATTGAGATAGAAATTTCATGCTTTTGATTACCTCGTAAGGTTTGATAATTTCTTTGCTGGTTATATGTTATAAGTATTTGTAACAATGGAAATAACATCGCTTTAATGTTAGAGAATTTAAAGTGGCATAATTTTAAACCTTTGAATGTAACAATATAGCACCTCTTAGGATGTATACTGTATGTTAGTGGCCAGACTAATTTTCTTGTAAAGGGTGTAAGGGCTTATGCATGTGGTTGCAGAGGGCTGTTCAACACTAAGAAGGAATACCTTTCTGCAGCGTGAGTGACAGATGTATTTGTACAGCTGTGGCCAGCAGTCTGCACAAATCAATGACAGGTTGACAGATAACTGCATACCTGTAACTGCATATCCGAACATTTTCCAGTGTCTCCCCCAGGTCTCAATGGTTCCTATTGCTGACTCCATATCAATACAGGACACTACAGAGGGCTCAGTATTAGTGATAGGCTTGATGTCTGAGTCGAACGTAAGTTCGATTTGAGCATCGGCGGTTCGTGTGCTTGGTGAAAACATGAATGGTAAGGGCGTCTGGCATGCTCATCGTTACAACGCTGGACGCCGTGATTCACAATAGATTACAACGATGAAACCATTTTTTTGGCTTTTTTTTTTTTTTTTAAATAAAGGACTTGTCAAAAACTGCTGCTGTGTTTTTACTAACATTTTACACTTTTTTGGTGAATAGGTAGGATAGTACCCTATTCTCATTTACTCATTCACAAGGGAGGGGGGCTGGGATCTGGGGGTCCCCTGGTTAAAGGGGCCTTCCAGAGTCCAATAAGTCACCCCCCACAAACCCCCACAACCACAGCCCAGGGTTGTGGGGAAGAGGCCCTTATCCCCATCAACATGGGGACAAAGTACTTTGGGGGGGAGCCTCCCTACCCTAAACCCCCCTGCTTTGCTGGCCTTCCAGGCCTGTGCTTGGATCAAGGGTCTGGTAGGAATTTAGGGGGGACCCCACACTTTCCCCACCCATTTTTTGGAGGTGGGGTTCCCCTTAAAAGTTCTACCAGGCCTAAAAGGCCTGGTATGGTTTTAGGGGGAAACCCCACATACGTTTTTCCCCATTTAGGGAGGTGGAGTTCCCCTTAAAAGTCCTACGAGGCCTAAAGGGCCTGTTTTTTTACAAAAAAAGATCAGTCCTGTTGTAGCAGGTTCTGTACATTGTACAGATGTGCAACTTAGCAGGTAGTTTAAGGGGACCCCCCAGGCATGATATTTAAAGGAATTTTTTTTTTTTACTGCAAGCAATGAAAATGACTGCCTCTTTAAAAAAGGTACTTCTTGAAAATGTTTTCAATGGTTCATGTCCCTCAGGGCAGTACCCGAGTCCCCATACCCCTTTTATGGCCAATAACTTCCATATAAGCCTCTCTATGTTTTACTGCGATGTCATTGAGTGGCTGCTGGCTGTTCCGGGGTCAGCAAGCACATTTCACAATGACACCTGGCTAGGCCCATCCCCTCCATCTTTACTGAATTAAAGGCTTTGGCTCCTGAGATATATGACAAGTATATCCCATGAGGCAAAGGGAGGACAGTGCAAGTGTTTCTCCTAGGCAAGGGGGAGCGGGGCTGTACAATTTATTTAAAAAAATAGGTAAATAAATAATAAAAAAAGCACTATTCATGCAAAGGATTGGAGGAGGGGTGTAGAGAAGGGATCATGTTTAAGAGGGTGAACATCTACTTTAACTACTCTACAGGAGGGAGGGAAGGCTAATACCAAGACACTAATTCATGAATTTTAAATGTTCCCAGATATGCATTTAGAAAGAATAGAAGACAGCTGATCAAAGCACATTACTGTCATTAAATAGAGTAAATGAGGGCTACAGTCTAAATTAGGGGATTTCCTATTTTTTCCTGCTGGGGAGATTTACAGTAAATGGAAACATCCCCATTGGAACAGAAACAGACGAGGGTTATCAATCTTTCTTACTCTATCCAAAACAAATAAGAAAGTGTTTTAGATGTACAAATTTTGTGAATGCAATTGGCTTGTGAGCAAGAAGATAAGTTGGCCCCCCCCTCTTCAAGACTCTACGCTCTGCACTCTATTCTGTGGGTGCATACACACTTGGTGGCTAGCATTGACCAGTGTTCATGAAGTCAGAGATAGTGATCCTAGATGTGAACCATCTGTGTTCATGCTCAGTCAGAAGTGCTGATTGCATGTAAACACTTGTGTAAAGTCAGGTTATTGACTTGCATCTCATAAACACCAGTCTATCTATAGTTATAGGCTGCCCATAACTATAGATAGACAAAACTCTTTCACATAGCAAGATACTTAGTAAAAGAACTAGGTAGCCCCATATGTCGATCTATAAGAAACTCCTCTATGCACTGTTCATATAATTTCAATGTAATACCTGTCTGCTGTGCTGTGCTGAGCATTGTAGTTCCAAAGGCATGCATTCTGCAGCCCTACACACCAACTAGAACTCACCAACTAGACATACACCCCCTACGCAGGTGGACAACAAAGCTTTCCAGCTCCACACTTATCCCTGCTGTCTCCTCTCCTGGCCAGGCCCATATGTCTCACCTGCTGCACTGCCCAGGGTCCCAGGATACCTGCACCCCTTCAGGGAATAGGTTATTCCCCAGCCAGACTGCACAGTAACCAAGCACAGCTGCCAATGATTCCCTTTCTCCAAGAGGGTTTCAGCCCACATTGAACCCACAGACACCAACCTTTCCATCACCTCCTCTGCCCAGATTGTGTCTGCATACATATGCAAGATTTGTGTCTGCTCACATACTTACATGTCATTTAGGCATCATGAATGAGCAGGACAGAATGGTAAGCAGAGTGGTGTGTGAAGTATTGTCACATGGAAGGCATGTGTAGAGCCACCAATAGGTCTCTTTTGAGCTGCAGCCACAAGTGACAGATGTGTCTGCAGTACAAAGGATGGCATCACAATGAGGAGCTTCCTGAATCAAATCCCTAATTCACATTCCCCTTGGGGCCCATGTGCCCTGCACGCACGGCACATACAGTATTAGGTATATGCTAGTGACATATACTTTAAAAGTGGAACTTTAGTCATAAAATGAAGTCCTGCTAGATCACTTTTTGCTGGCCCCTTTTGCAGGTATAACTATGTAAAGCATTAAAAATAAGTGCCTATACCAGGGGTGTCCAAACTATGGCTCTTCAGCTGTTGAAGTACTACAAGTCCCATCATGCCTCTGCCTCTGGGTTTCTTGCCTGTGGATGTCAGAGTCTTGCAAGGCCTCATGAGACTTGCAGTTCCTCAACACCTGGAGGGCCATAGTTTGGACAACCCTGGCCTACACTGTTTAAACTTCAGTAGCACAATGTCTCACCCTGCTCTGCACATGCTCAGTTGCTCTCTATCTTTAGGCACTGTGCCGAATTTGTAGAGGCCGATCTGCTGACAGCCTAAAGATATGTTGCAGCTTGGGGGCTCTGGGCTTCAGCAAAATGCTAGCCTCCAGCAAGAAGAAACAGGAGGAATCATGGAGGCAATTAGCAGCAAACACTAATTTTGGTAACACACTATTAATGTGGAATGTATATTCCTTGCTAAAGAACATTATTTCTTATCAAATTGTTATGGGCAAAGTTCCACTTTAAAAGCTTATCTTAGTCCCTGTTAGAAGATGAAAGCTTGATAAAACAATTACATTTCAGTTGCCAAGGAAAACACAGCAATAAAGCATTACAATATATAACTGGATAAGCTCTCACTAAATGCACCCAAGAAAAGTCACACTTCCACCCTTGAAAGTGAATATATATAAACAAAACCTTTTCTCTAAATGGACTCAAAACCACTATTTCAAGTATAATAAAAATTCAAATAAACCACTATAAATCACACAAGTCCAAAAATTAAAGTGTCTCTAAAGAAAAAAGTCCAAATTTCAAATATTAAATGTGTCCAAAATAGCGAAGATCTTCCCAAAAAAATTATATTATGAAGTATCCAACTCATTCACCACCAGATACTACGGGATCTGGATTGGTGAATAAGTTGGATACTTTATAATATAATTCTTTTGGAAGATCTTCGCTATTTTGGACACATTTAATATTGAAATTTGGACTTTTTGTCTTTAGAGACACTTTAATTTTTGGACTTGTGTGATTTATAGTGGTTTATTTGAATTTTTATTATACTTGAAATACGGGTTGTGAGTCCGTTTAGAGAAAAGGTTTTGTTTATAATAAATCATTACAAACACATATAGTGTATGGAATTAATTTTTTTTTCAATGATGTAGCAAAT